ATTTGAGTTTCACTGCAAAAGCATCTTGCTCGCTGATGTATTCTGCAGTAGTGAGAGGACGAATTATTACAGACATTGGCATTTCAGCCACCATGTGTGTCTAGCGGATCTTTATTACGTTTATTTATGAAAGTATGTTTGCATTTACATGTGAGGGGAAAACAAGTGAATTAATTAAATGGAGCCATATTTTGCCTGTCAAGGCTGCTGACTAAAGCGTTAATCCATCTCAAGTGAGGAAATCAGGCCCTCTGGATAGTCTACCCTATTGTAGACTTAACGCCAGAACCACATTTTAACATCAACATTTATTTCCACATTTAAATGATTGTTGATGTTATCATCATGACATCCCAGGCTGTTCAAAATGTCATTGCCACTGGAGGTGAAAGCCTTGTTTTTCCTAAATGTCAGCCTTTCAGCATTTAAATAAAACACCCATGCATTTAGCTAGCCCACTATGTCACTCACAGTCTGGAAAAGATTTCACCAGCAGCTCATGGGAGGGGGAATTTTTCTTGTAGGCCATTACCCCCTTTCACATGACAATAGCAAGTTATGGGACATTTATGTCAAGTGTCTGAGCAGCAGCAGGGGTTAGGAGGGAGCTTTCTGAATAACAGATCAAACTGAAGCCACTGATTTAGGTGGGGCTTCAAACAGACTGTGACCTTTCAGAAATCAGCCACTGGGGATGTTGGATGAAGGCAGTTGTAGCCCCCACCCCGCTGCCACCACCCCATCGCCTTCTTGTCTTCACATATTCACCTCCCACCCCTCCCCTCCCTCACCACCACAGACCACCACCAAGGTATTTTCCCTCCAGAAAAAGACGAGACATTTAACATGTCGGGGCAGATGGGGATAGCATTTCTAACCATCCCGTCCCCCAAGCTAAAGCAATATAAAATGCAACTGCATACCACACCCATTACCAGGATTATGAGCACTATTAACCCCCTCTTTGTGTTTTCTTTCAAAAAAGAGGGAAGTTTGGTTTACTAAGCATTTGGTACTAAGGTCCATTTCAGAGTGGTGTGGAATATAATTACAGCCTGGCTGGAACCTGTGCTCAGAAAGGATCAAAGATCGATACCAATAATACTAATAATGGGGGTTGAGTCCTCTGTGAATGGTACTTTAACTCAAATGGAAATTGTAAAATTGAAGTAATACTATTGGAATGAGATGGAGAGACACCATGCCATTGGGAGGATTAATTGTTTATCTGGCAACACACCAATTTGGTAGATATGTAGAGTTAGTTATTAACTGGTTGGTAATAGATATTTGGCAGGTAACAGTGCTTCTAAATCAGGATCTAGACCAACAGGAAATAAAAACTAGAATAAAGGTTCTGCCTCACTGGGTTAGTTTCTGTTCACTAGCATTCACTTCCCCCTGTGCTTCTTCCATTTATGTCAATGATCCAAAAAGCAGAAATATGCCCATGTTTTTGTTAGTAAGACAGCTCTACTGTTGTACTGAGCAGTCAAATCTGAGTACCTTGCAGTTTTAGCCAGATGAAGGACAGACTCCTGTTTACTCCAGATGATAAAACAGGAAAATGAAAGAAAATACAGTAGACTTGTGCTGTCTGCCTGAGGTTAGTGGAACAAAAGCCATCTTAAAAGGGGACATGACTTCAAGTCTCTAGTATTGCCTTATGTTTAGGCCATAAAAAGCAAGGGGGTGCATTGGTGTTGTTCAGGTACCAGCGATGAGACATGAAATATGATCCAGGAAGGATTTGCTGACAATGCGAGAATTGGTTATTTCCATTCAGCCCGGTGGATTTTAGGACTACTAGGAGGAGCCAGAGGAACCTGATTGTTTCACAGATTATCTGTCTCATGTACAACTGTCAGGATATAGTGAACGTTTCTGCAAATATAACAAAAGGCTATTTTATGAAAGTTACCTACTGCAGCTATAAGTCACATCAGGTACATTACGTAACTTTACCTTGAAGCGGAGGGGTTCTAACCAATGAATGAGGGTGTTTTTCACAGAGTGCTAATGAATCAATAATACATCTTAATGTTAGAGCCTCCTTCCCATCATAATGGTCATAACTATATGAGCATGACAATGTGTGTGTGACCACCTTTTACATTGTTAAAAGCCCCATGGTCAATGCTACGCTATTTTACGGAAAACCGTGGAACTTATGTATAGGGAACATTGTATATCCACAAAGCATTTTAAAGTGGACTACTGCAAAGCTAAAATGCTTGCTAACATAACAGGGAATTATGATAGTGCTCTTTATTCACCCACATTACACACCTCTCATAACAAGCCATTCTCTGCCACTAGTGATGACTTTTCTAAACAGTGTTTACCTATACTTTTCTTTTATTAACAGCCCACACTTTGCTCTATCCCCTCACATCTGCACTGGCAGCTTACCACTCTAAAGTCACCCTGAAAAGCCTCCCATGGCTTCTGACTTCTAAGTCTGAAAGTCTCTTTGAAAGAATTCCCCCTTTGATGTGAGGAATGCTACAGATCAAGCTGGAAACTGACTTCTGCTATCTACTGTGCCACTACTATCTGTCATTATGTGGAGGATAAATATGGATTCCATCATGAATGTAATGTGAAGAGAAGAAAAAAACATGCATTCTCTCCCCAGTGGAGCCACTGATCCAGACACAGAACAGATAGCATCAAGAGATGGAGATGGTGCCCCTGGCTGTGTCGAGTGTCGACCACCAATGACCCCCCCTCCCACTACACACACACACACACACACCCACTCAGCCACCAGTGAGACAGCCTGCCCGCCCTCCAGCGACTCTGACGAAGAGCAGCTCTGTGAACAGTGAGAGATGACCAGTGACACAGACACAACTCAAAGATAAGAGCTGGGAGGGATTTATCCTGTGTAAGTGACACAAGACAGTGTCAGTGAGGCCAGCAGGGGTGATAGTTTAGTGTTTGAACTATTTTAAAGCCCATGCCTTGTTCTCACCAAGAAAATCCATTCACCATCAGCCTCTGAGACATACACAGAGGGGCTAAACCACTGATTCCCAAAACAGGAAATGGTAATGGAAACTCCAGGGGCCTTTTTAAATTTTCCTGGTTTTACCCTTCAGCATGATGAATATTCAAAGTCTTTATGAATGGCCTACTCTCATTACAATATTCTACACAAGCAGAAAGAGTGCCAATCTTCCTTTCAAATACTAATCAACAGCATTTAGAAAGACATGGTAAAATGTCATTAGTCGATGGCCCTACAAGGGAGTAAATTTGGGCACCCCTGACATAACCCACTCCTAACCCTAACCCTCAGCTTTGTGGGGACCAAAATTCTGGACCCCACAGGTTTTAAAATATATTTCTAGTGGACACCAAGAAAAGAGTAAAACAAGTTCACCCAATAGTAAACACACACATACACAACACACACAAACAGAAGCTCGGATTACCACTGAATTTAAACAACCGCATCCCTAATTACAAACAAATGATCTGATAGCAGCGACCAGGGGGGAGGTGGTTGTGGGGAAGGGGGATTGTTTGTTTGGGCAGGGAGCTGGCTTTATTAAAAGTAATTGCCATGGAGGCTCGTGGAGTGTAAGCACACCTGTATTCAGTTTACTCCACCTGTTTATTTACAGACACAAGTCTACCGAGCATTTATAGCCTGTATCAGTGGTTTATATCAGTGCTTCCCAGTCCACAATGGGGAGTCGCTTAAGCTTCATGGGGGGGGGTTTGGTTTTTTTTTTTTTTTTTTGTAAAAAAAAACTAATGAAAATATACCAGTGGGTTCTCAGCGTTTGGTACACTTTTGTGACAAAAAGAATGGGGATTGTCGAATAGAACAATGGTCAAGCATCAGGGAGAAGAAAAAAAGAAAAAGAAAACATAATACAGTCAGAGAATTGTATAAAAAGTTTTTAAAACCAACCCAAAACTGAAACATTTTAACATGTAGGGAACGCTATACTGGAATATTCCTATTTTCCTAAAACCAGAAACACATTTTCCCAGAACGTTTAGGAACCAGATGTTTAAGGTAGGTTCCCAAATGATCAGGGATTTATGCCTTTCAAAGTATGACACAAAAGCCCAACCGCTGATGTATGCATGGTCTGATTTATTTATTAAACACTACCCTACAGCCTACAGATGACACATTGTGTATTTCCCCCTTGGTATTTCTCTGTACAGACAGAGAATTGTTTTTTGAATCAAAATTCCTCCAAATCACTGGTTTTACACCAACTTCCTGCATTTAGACAGTTCAAGGTTTGGATTGATTATACAGTTTGGAATATAATATGAAATATCTAGGAAATATGTCCCTTACTCAGGGGCTGTCAGTTTACTCAATGATAGAATAGGGGAAGGTTGGGAGCCACTGCATATGCGTTACAATGGCGTTAATATGAGGGTATAAAGAGGATGAAGTCTTTCTCTTCATCATTTTAATAAAATTAAAAAGGAAAGTGGTTTCATGTTTTATTTAGAGGGAATCCCTCGAAAACACTGATGGATTTTCCACAGTCTCATGGACGGGTGAGTGGGGCGGCTGTGATGCATCCCCTAATCGGAAGGTTGTTGGTTCGATCCCCGGCTCCTCCTGCCACATGTCGAAGTATCTTTGAGCAAGATACTGAACCCCAAATTACTCCTGATGCCGTGTCATCGGTGTGTGAATGTGTATGAATGAGTTAGTTTCTGTTTCACTGAGTGAATGTGTGTGAAAGGGTGAATGTGGCACGTAGTGTAAAAGCGCTTTGAGTGGTCGGAAGAATAGAAAGGCGCTATACAAGTACAGGTCTATTACCATTAGTCACCGCAGCCTCAACAAGCGTATGAATCTGACTAAGACTTGTGTTAAGAGCAGGTGTAAGTTGCTTCAGGTATTAACATTGAGGCTAACCGCCATGTATCCTATGTTACCGGTAAACTCCAACCCTCACACAGCTGCAGTGTTCTCAGAGGTGTATTACTGCATTATTACCGACGCTTCCTCTTACCTTGGAGAAGTGTCCCGGCGCTCGCGAAAGCCAGCAACAGGAAAGCAGCCGAATCCATCCTGATAAAGTGTGAGTCCGGGGAGAGCGGGGGTCTCTGCCGAGCTTCCACGAATGACGAGCTGAAGTCCGTGGGAGCGGTTCTAATATGGCCCGCGGATGTGTCACTCTGTTGGGTCGGAGAGCTGTGGAAAGTCCGCAACACACCAGACTGAGTCTCTGAGAGAGCGAGTGCAGGTGAAACTGAAGGACTGAGCGGGAGAGGAGGAGGAGGAGGAGAGGGAGGAGGAAGCTCTGTTGCCTTGAGGTGTAGTCGGATATAAGGAAACTCCCAGACTGACAGCAGAGAAACAGAGCGCCGCGCTGAGCCTGGTGTTACTATTGCGGAAGTGTGGAGGTGTGAGGCGTTCATGAAACAATAAAATAGACGTAAAGTAGATTAGACCAAAAAATATCACATTACAACAGCTAACCCATAGCCTAACGTCCACCATTGAACGGACCTTCCCAGAACCGTCTGGGCATGTAACGATATTATAATGCCATCTAGGGAATGTTCCCAGAACGGTCTAGTAATGTACGTGTACATCAGAAAAACTTGCCATTGTAACATTTAGGGATTTTTAAGGGGACACATTGATGTAACATTCCCAGAACATCCTGGGAATGTAATAGCCTAATAATGTTGCTTTTACATCAGAAAAATTGTAATATATCTAGGAAATGTTCAAGTAGGCTAAACTTCCAGTGGAAGAGGAAGATTAACTGATGATGTTATTGGCTGAGGTGAAAAGTGGTGTTAGGCTAACAGCTATCATAAAGTAGATTAGGCCGGGGGGGAATCACATCACAAAACCGTTAACACATACACAACTATCACCTTCCCTTCCCGTTTTTCATCAGAAAAACTTTTCATATCTAGGGAATGTTAAGGGGCTTATTTATTGAACAGTTATTGGCCTGCATATGCTACACTGTGTATTTCCCCCTTGGTATTTCTTTGTAACACTGCACACTTCCAGGTAGCACATGTATCACAGCTGTGACACATTCTGTTACCTGACCACATGCAGGTCCTGTCTTGTTTCTGAAAACTCACAGAAAATTTTACGAGGGGTACCCAAAGGCAGCATTTCTTCCCCTTTTCACTCCACCTTCAAGCCAGCCTTTTTTATGACATGACAATTAACTATTATTAAAAAAAGAACCCGTGAGATTCATTTTCAGAAACTGTAGGGACACTCTAAACCTGTCCACAGGGGTTTTCCCACAAATCTAATTCCTATAATACCAGACTACTGAAACATCTTGTACTTCACTGGTATTAATGAGGCTCCCTAAATCTTATCTTTCCTTTATATGGATAAAAAAAACAAACAGGAATGGGTATTTAATGATATGGTATACAATATATTTCAGCATTATGAGGTTTCTGTGTAGGGTGACTTGTTTGAAGAATATTATAGAAATAATGTAGGGGTTTCATTTATTATGGGCAACCTTTTGTTCTTAAGGGACACATTTCCTATCATGATGACCCCTGACTATGTGACATATTTTATGGATATTTCCTATTATATTCAGTGCATCACAATAACAGTAGAGAACAAGTGATAACTGTACAATGAACCCAAACAGTGAACACAATAACTGCAGGAAGATTGTGTAAAATGAGAGATTTAGATGAATTTTGAGCAGATTATTTCCTGTGAACATTGATCAGAGATGAGTTTTTCTGATGATTTTAGCATCTTTTATACAATTCTGACTGTATTATGTTACTTTTAACAATCATACATTCTTAATAGGCTTCTTTTTTGACAAATCTAGTTTTCTCATTGTTCTATTAGCTCTTTGTTTTTTTCTAATGCAGGATGAGGCTGTTTATCAGAAAGTGAAAGCTCTGTGAATGTAGCTTGTGTTCATGTCTTATCCTGTTTATATTTTAAATAATCTAAACTTGAAAAATAACAATTAGTTTTCTTCACATGAATTCATGAAATGTTAAGATATAGGCCTACTGTGCATCCTGGTGACCCCCAGTGAAGCTTTGGCGACCCCTGGTGTGGGTCAGGTCCCCCAGGTTGGGAAACATTGGGTGCATTAGATAACATAGATGCCAGCCAAAGTGGACAGGAACTTTGAGAAAAAATTGTATTAGGCAATCAAAAACAGAAAATGCCACAGAAAGTAACTTGAACAAGTCTTGTTGATAAACTGATGGTGTGCATTCAGATCTAGATAATAAAAGTATCCACTGACTACAGGGACACAAAGTCATTATGGCGCCTCCTAATGGACTGGCCTGAGGAATTCATGTAGAGTAGCACTGACTTAAACAAAAACTACAGAAAAATCTTTATTGATTATATTTACCTCGGAGCTGATTAAATGCTGTGCTACGTTTATTTTTTATCATGTGCTAAAGCTCACAGTCAATAATGTATTATGACTGCAGCTTCATGAGTTTTTTCCATTTTAGACTTCAGCAACTGAGGTAGATTTAAATTCAATCTTATCGATGTTCAATGGAATTCATTTTCCACACGCTCCTCCACAGCGTGAAAAAAATGTTTATTGATTTCTGTATTTTGCTCGCATATTTCAACAGAGGGGCCAAACGGTTAGTTTTACTACCACATGCCTGGAGCTGGTATGCATTCAGCTTGCTCAAGGAAACTTCAGCAGCGTGGGTTTTCACCGACAGAATGCCTGAACACATTCAGTTTAAAGAATGGCTTTCGAAAATAAAAAAGGATTGGTGCCACTGAAGTCACACACACAACTGGAACACTGGGTAAATTTGCAAACAGCAAAATGTGAAAAGAAATTTAGCAAATTCATCTGATAGATAATAGTCTGACCTGGCTTTGGGTCGTAGCATTCAGAGTTGTCATGGTGAACATTTGAAAGAATTTAAAAATGTCAGAAGCCCTACTAGTTAATAACAACATTCCTGCAGGCAGTGATGAGAGTTAGCAAAAGCTGTAAGCATACAACTCACTCTGCAGGAAATTCTACTGCATTTGTGTCAAGATGTCATATGATTGTCAAGTCGGTACGTGTAAGCCAAGTCATGTGCCCCCAGTTGGCTTAGACGCTCCATGCTCACACAGTGTACCGTACATGCCTGAAGGTGTGGCCAAGATATGAGCCACTGGCACAGACCCCGGGATTGTTTAAAGGACAAGGCTGTTTGTTCATGTGAATAAATCCCATGAAAAGCCTAAAATAAACATGTTTGTCTCACAATACTTATACTGAAACACCAGCCTGTCTGTGGCTCTCAGCTTCAAGCCCACTGTTCCTACTAAAGACGTAAAACTCACATACTGTATTTTAATGTCCTAAAACAGCTTTTTAGCACACACTACTTAAAGTCCCCTTCCACTCAAAAATATGTGTTTATCCTTGGATGTTGGATGTTTGATCTTAACTGTGCAGAATGGTGTCTGAGTTTGACACTAGAAGGATGTATTCACATTCATCTGCTGAAAGTGGAAAGTTTCTTAGATTCAGTTATATAGGAGTAGAGGACTTTTTAAGGATTTGAATGGAAATCATTTTTTTTGTGGGAAAAACATATCAGATACACATTATTGTTCCAAGCTGATTATTTGTATGCATTTTTTAGGGTTGGGCGATATGGCCTAAAAATCACCCACACCTGATTCACGAATTTACTCAATTTTGTCTGAAAAACAAACCACAAAAGACTCCATTTCTTTGGCGTTGTGAAACGCCACTGCATTTGTAATGCCTTATATCTGAGGCCCCTAATTTTAATAGGATACTATGGGGAAATAATTCTATGCATTCTGTGTAGATGTAGCAGGATGTAGCAGATGGAGCAGTTGCCCATTACAGGCCTTTTTCATACTCATTAAAGTAGAAAAAGCTCAGGTGTTACTATTAAAACAGAATTTTAAGTTGTCAAAAAATGAGTAGGTACCAAAAAGGCAATAGAAACCAGTGTGGCACCTCCATATTGTAAACCGCTCCCTATTCAGTTTGTACAGGGGAGCTTATGAGGAGCAGCTGAGCGGGAAGGCAGCTGATAATGAGCGCCGTCCGGCTGTCAACAGGGGACAGAAACTCACCAGGTACATCTATTGGACAGGTGTGGCATCACTGGGGTGAAGCTTATTTTTCTCATCTCTATGTTTGCCTCTTATTATTGGAGCTCCCTCTTGCTGCTCAGCCAAACATTAAGGAAACTGAAATGTCCATAATGATGGCACACTGATTAATTTTCAAGACAGCGAGGGAAAGAGGATGTGGACAGAGACTGTGAGGAGGAAGAGAGTGTGAGGCTGAACAGAGAGGGTGGGATGATGGTGTCGCTGACAGCTAGAGGTGGTACTGACGTGGTTTTACCCTCTACATGTTTGCACAAATACCTGTACTTTCTACTTCTTACATTTTAAATAGTATGTTATTTATTAACACAGGATTTGTCCAATGTTATCAAGTCACAGACTCTACCACCATGACTTCCTGTCATTTAAAATTCTACATAAAGGAGGATTTTAGCAGGAAGACAATAAAACGTACAGATAGAACATTGTTATTATGTTGTACACTCGAACTGCAAATATTTCTATATTTGATTTAATTGTGTCATATGAAAAACTTTTTTTGTTTGTTGTTTCCTGGGAACCCCACTGTGAGACCCTCTCTCTATATATATTTACACACAGTTTAGACTTTAAAGTCCAAACCAGTGAAACTGAGCAGTGATTATCATTTTAAATGTAAACCCCCAGCAGTGTATTTTAATTAAAAGGTTGAATTTCACATTCAGCACACGCAGGGGGTGTTGGGAGTGTAAGTGTATGTGTAATGAATATACTTTATTAGAGGCATAGTTGTTCACAAATTACATAAACTGACACAAATAGAAATGATTAAAGCGCCCTCCTGCTGGTTCATCTGAGGAAGTACTGTAAACGTGGGGACATGAAACACTTTTGTCTGAAGGAAATGGAAGAGTTAAGATATTCCAAGTCTTTACCAAATAATAATACTAATTATCTAACTCTTTCTGTTGCTGTTTCTGTGTATGTGTTTGCATGTGTGTGTTTGTGTGTGCTAGAGAGAGAGAAAGACACAGGCAGAGAAAGACACACACACACACACACACACAGACAGAGAGAGAGAGAGAGAGAGAGAGAGAGAGAGAGAGAGAGGTGTATTCTACTTTCAAGCCTCACTGCTGCCCACTTCTACTTCAGGTTTAAAGTGATTCTCTTGTCATCCTTTCTTAAACAATACTTCCAAGTGTCTCTCTCTCTCTCTCTCTCTCTCTCTCTCTCTCTCTCTCTCTCTCTCTCCCAGTAATTGAGCATCTTGCTGATAGAGTTTCCCTTTGAATCCACAGTGCAGTTTTCCGGCTGAACTACAAGGGAAATTCCATCCCAGGCATTATTTTCATAGTCAAACAAAGCTTGTCATGTAGATGAAAGTCAGCGGCAAGCAGGGCAAATACAAGCACCCGGTTGGCTGAAGTTAACAAGTTGGCTTCAAAACACAAAGCAGCAAGAGTCAGCTCGACAGGGATGGAAGGCAGCTACATACTGATGACGGCTTCTCACAGCAGAGGCATCCTCCTTGATTTTGAGTGCACCTAATGCATTTGTAAGAATCCACTGCGCCTTAATGAAAGTGACCTATTAGAGCCAAGAAGATAGTTCATTCTTGAGTCTTGAGACTCAACAATCAACTACCTTCAAGCTTCCAACGTAACCCATCTTTATATCTTTCATGGCTCTGATCGGTTGTTTTTGTTCAGGCCTGGTGGATTCTTGCAAATGTCATTAGGAGCACTAGGAGGAGCCAGAGGAACCTGATTTGTCTCATGTACAACTGTCAGAAAAAAGTGAAAAATTCAGCAAATAAATAATAATTCAAAAGTTACCTACTGCAGCTTTAAGTTGAAGAAAAGTAAATAGTTTTAACAAAAGACAAAATATAAAATTGTATTCCAAACTTAAAAGTTCCAATTTGACTTAAAACTTGAAATTGTGTTTTTTCTCACATTTCTTTCTACAGTTATCAAGGTCACCCCTTTACACCTCAAAAAAGCAGGCAGTTACAAGTTTATTCTAGCGCTGGTGACGCATTATCAAAGAATTAATGATTCTAAGTCATCTACATTATGGGATATCTAGTATCAGTGGGTAAAGGCAACTTTATTGTATTTTATGACCCTCCACCCCACAGATAAAAGACAGAAGCATCAGCTTTAAAACTCACTTGGCAACTCTGTTATGAAAGTTTGAAGGACTTCTCTGCCCAAAGAGCTCAGTCACTGCTGCTGAGGAGACAGAACTCTATCTCGTACAATTTCACCCAGAAGATTTCCCACCAGTGACATTTGAATTTAGTTCAGATGTGGAGTGCAGAGTCTAAGTTAAAGTTGGGATGTATTCTGCAGCATCCACTCTCTGATTCAGTCTCTGATAAGATGGATGTTTTACATAAATATATCCCTTATTTCAGCGGGATGCGATCTAATATATGATCTATTCTTTTTTTATCCTTGCAAACCAGGATTTAGTGTTACATATACATTTGGTGACCTAATATGTCTATGACTATGATTATTACATGTGTATATAATATTATATAACGTACAGGTAATAAAATGTCTCCAGTCATCCCTCAAAGTGAGCATTTCATGGTTTTCAATCCAAGACCTTAAAGATGCATTAGGTGAAGTAAGCTTTCATAAAAATAACATTATAACAGTAATACATGAGAGAGATTGAAACACATCTCAACGTATTTAGAATGAGACTCAACAATCAACTATCTTTCTTGGCTCTGGTTTTTGTGCATATACGGTGGATAAGAGGGTATCTCTCATCAAAATAATAAAAGTGAAGTATTGTGGGATCATGGGATTTGTTGTCTTCACTACCATTGTCGTCATTGCAGTCAGTCAGCTCGTTCTAGTGCTCCTAATGGTATTTGCAAGAATCCACCAGGCCTGAATGAAAACCAATCAGAGACGAGAAAGATATAAAGACACTTTGGGTTGGAGGCTTTAAGATAGTTGATTGTTGTATCTCATCCCCAGGATCCCCTTTTTATTGCTGCATATACTGCATATTGCCACAAATCACCACGCCCCATGTTCTGGGTATCCGTTCTTGTGTGTGTGATATATCCAATCTGGGCACAAAATTAAGTCTCTGCAGCACCAAAAACTCCACAGAGTACTTTTAAATGTATACTACTCCTGTAGTATCCTGATTCCATAAAGCCGAGGTGTGGTCATGTCTTGACGTCATGAGAGTGGTCTCATCTCCTTTGTTCAACCAGCTGTTTTTGAGCAGTATTTGCTTTCATACCTCCCACCCCCTAAAAAACACACTGGTGTTGGAGTTAATTTATTGTATACAATGTTTTTTGTATTAATATTGACAAAGGTCATGTAAAAGAACAGGTTATATAGAAAGAGACAGGGTTTCAGTGACATGTGAACCTCCATTGTGACCCACTGTAAAACTAGATACATCTTCTATACAAATATGCCTTAAATAGTCAGGATTTAACGAGGTCATTGACAAATGGTGCGCAGATGAGTGAAGAATAGATACGTGTTCTCAGTCACTATCACTTACTGTGGTTTGTAACATCATCCATGGTTGCTTCTTAGAGGAAATCTTTTTTGCAGAAAATATTTAGGGATTTGGGGGTAAAAAGGTCAAATATTATCAAAATTGTAGATTATCAGAGTGCATGTGAAGGGTGACAGTCCAATTATGTAAAGTAACAATAATTGACGAGACAGATTCTTTTATATTGTTATTCAAATGTCCAAAAGGAATTGGTGTTAAGCAAAAACTTAACAAATAATGACCAAAATATATTGAACAGCAGCTTCAACCTCAAAACTCTTCACATTCTTTAATGTCAAACTTTGTGTATAACATCTGCAATCACATTTACAACTAATTTAGTTTTGCTTTCATAAACTCAGTAGAACACAATGTATTACATTTTCTTCATAGATTTGTAGTAGTACATATGTGTCTGCTGATACAATATCTCCAAAGACTCAAGATCATTTTGTTACCCTCAGAACAAACTAGTGGTTCCCCTTTTTATGCTTTTTAAAGCCAAAGAGCACCAGTGCTAACATTTGAGCTTTTCATTATATAATGCCCCATTTCTACTACAACAAGCAAAGCATGTCCTTGTGCAAACCTTCTCGTTCCTCACTTTGCTTTTCAAGTGAGTCTATGCAGTACATTTCTAGTACAGCTACAACCACAAGACCACTAAACCACACATGCACATGCTACATGAGAACAAAACACATTAAGAGCAATATTATGCTGAGCTTAGTTCTATGCCACAGGTCTTGTAGGAAAGGTTACTGCATACCAATTTGCCTAACAGTTACGCTTGGGCATCTGCTCCAGTTTAAAAGTGTCTGAGCCTTCTGTAGAAGACAGCAGCCGCAGCCAGAATCACAATGACAGCCAGAGTGAGGATGCCCACGGCTATCCCAAGACCCATCCTGGAGCCCGAGTCCGAGTCACTGCTGGAGGCAGCTGCTAACACAACCAGAGAGCAAACATGTTCATCACACCTTCACTCACACAGCAAATGGTGGTCTCACTAATTAATTATGAATTTTACTGGCATACAGATTTGATCTGCCATATTAGATGGAACAAAGTCAAACAATTGTATTATTTTAAGAATTAAGTAAACAGTATCATACCTTCCTCCTTAGCTGTCAGTGCTGAAAGAAAAAGTAGAAATAAAAAGAAAAAAATCTATTATTTTAGTATTTGAAAGGGGCATTTCTGGAACAAAAACTGGACTTTAAGTCAGAGTCTGAGGTAAGCTTACTATTGTATGTTGAGAGCTAGTAAGTTATAACCTTGCGGGGCAGCTGGACTACTGACAGCTAAAACATGAGCTGCAGACATGGTTTAACGCTAAGTGTGTGAACAGTGACTGCTCGAAAACAACAAAGGCTAAAGAGTTTAGTCTAGATGCAGCTTTCATCAATTGGTTCATCCAATCACCTGCTGAGTATTTTTTTTAAGTGCCTGCCCTTTTCCACTTTCCAATGATGACATGCAGTCAGACAAAAGATATATATGAAATTTCTGCATCAAAATGTTTATTAACTCTTAGACCTATCTTCTATATGTTGTTGAGTTGTCTTTGAAATGAATAATGGATTTTAGTCATCAGACATCGTTGCGCTGGAGAAGCAGTGATTTTTAAGGTGGAACTGCTTGATTCAGTGTTTTTAGTGGTTTTAATCAGCAGGTCCGTTTATTTTGGAGAGGAGGAGACCTCTGTGGATAATCAGTTGGGAGAAGCTGACTAAAGAGCGATGGTGGTGAAGACATAAAGATGTCATCAAACTCCTGTTATTCTTTTGTTATTGTTTTGATGTTGATGTTGAAATTACATATTGTACGTTTAGGTAAGTTATACTGTAAATTGCTTTTGGAAAACCACAAAGGTTATTATGCCTTTGTTCAAAGTCCAGTGTTACCGAACAGCCATACTTACAATTCTCATTTTTGGTGATAATTGGGACTGCTGAAGATAGGGTGGTGGTCCCTGAAACACCAGTGGAATCAACATCCCTTTTCCTCCTGTTGTTACATTGCTGTAGATGAAGCAAGAAGAAATGCAAGCAATAACTGAATCACATCCAGTATTAAGGGGAGAAACGGGCTAAATGTCTTTTTGCATTACTGATCCTTCACTGACCTTAAAGGCATCACAGGTGCTGATCTCGCAGAGTCTGGTGATACAGTGCAGGTAGTAGGTGGACACTGTCTGGTTCTGCTGTTCAAGAAACCTGAAGGCCGAGAAGGAGAAGCGGGCGTGGTGACTGTTCCCATTCTCGTGCATGGTGGTCATCTGGTCTTTGGAGCACCTGTTTGATTGATCAAGAATAAAACAGTGTTGGCCTACTATGGACCTATGATTTTCTTCAGAATGAAATTTGAGGACTTACGAGACAAACAGGTTGAAGAAAGTGGAGTTTGTGGGATAGGGAGAGATGGAAGCGTAGCATCGGTCCATGAGGACATGGTACCTGGTTGGAGAAGAACAATGTGAGCATCAGAGGTGCTTTATACTTTTTTTCTCCTGATAAGACATTTAATACCATCCACTTCATCTGTGTTCATAACCCAGAGCCCAAGAATGTGTTGACATTTGTGATCCCTCTTGTCCAGTGTCCACAAGACCAGGTATTCTTACTGATCAGTTAGGTTGGCTGCTTGGACCTGGACATAGACGTCGGTCCTCAGCTCTAAACCCAGTGGTGGTATGACCAGACGAGTGGTGTAGTTGATGTCCTGTCAACAGAAATGTACAATTGGTTATCTGTAAATGCTGATCATTGTCCATATTTTACACAGTCCATTTGGGGGGGGGCTGTTTGCCCTGGTTTTTATGGCATTATTTTGAGTTAGGTTGATTTGATCAGAAGCAGGGTTAGGGTTAGGGTTAGTGAGTTGAATTTTTCTGAATTTAATAGTACAGATGAGCCAGAAAAAAAACACATTGACTATTGTGCTTTTTGTTGTAGATTCCATAATAAAATATTTGAATAAATGTCACTTGACAGTGTGGACAAGAAATACAACTCTCTAAATGTCGACATAACCAGTAACACTATAAAGAGAACACGACAATAGCCAGCACCTCACAAAAAAAAAAACAACCCTCAGTCTCAACTTACACTGAAGAGTTCCATGCTCAAAGTACTGATGAAGCTTCCATTGTTGTCCCTCACTGCAATGGAAGATGCTGACCTGAATGGGGCATGGGGTGATGTCAGAAAGGAGTTGCTGGATGAGACATGTCTGACTGCATCCTATATGTTACTGTACACCAGGAGATGATTTCCACCAACAGAAGACAATGTATTACTTTTATAGTCTGAAAGTGCAGTGATCAGGACAGATGTACATCACCACAGTACCACATACTGGGTAACAATTGTTTTAGAGACCACAGTGACACATAAAACGATAGTTAGATACATACAGCTTGGCTTGTTAATGTGTTTATGCTGAACTCTCTCAAAAGCAGCTAAATACAAAGCTCAGATTTTAATTATATGCATGTTAAAATGGTTTTTTCTTAATAGAGAAAAAATATAAAGAAATGATACTTCAAATGATTTGTCTGCGCCTACTATGCTTCCTTGTGTATGTGTATTCCTTGTGTTCTTAATTGTGTTGTAGTCAAATTTCTTTGCTACATGAATCTGTGGATTGCATATTTCCCATATCGTACAACCAGGGATTGAACCAAACGGAAAAAAGGCATCCATGACTTTGCCTGACATGACATGACATGACAACATTTTTAGAAAAACAAATAATCCCTTTACAAAGCACAGCTACCAATACTTACCATCAGAATGATTAATGCAACTGTCAATTTCCTTATACAACAAGATGTCCAGGGTATGTACAGTAAACATCTAAAGTAAATCAATCAAAAAGTAAAAGTTCTTACACTTCCACCTGGGTGTTGTTGATGAGGTACTCCAGAGGGTAAGCACAGGAATAGTAATATTTGAGTTCAGCGTTATAGGTGACTATCCCTGTGGTTGGGTCATGTGAGCGCACCACGCCACTGACATTAACGGTCTGGATGTTAGAGAAGTCGGCAAAGATCCCTGTGCCAGCTGCACTGGTGGTCTGGAGGCAACATTAAGGTAAAGTCAAGCACAGAGAAGAGGAAAAAAAGCTTTATGGAAGACATTATGGATTCTCTCTACCAAGCTCTACTAACCAGGAAGTTGCTGCCACAAGCATTAGTCATGTTGAGGGGGAAGGTGAATCTGACAACAGGCGGGGTGGAGGATTCATCTACGGTTCCTTTGCACTCCGGCTTGTCAAATATGTGGTTGAGAATGAGCAGAGACTCGTTGTAGCCAGTGTAGACAACAGGGCAGATTTGGATAGCCAGGCTAATGGAGGACGTGCCACATTCAACTGAGATGTCTGTGTATTCTAGAAAAGAGGGAAAGACACTCCCTTATTCTGCAACTCTCATAAATCTTAGTAATTCACAAACTAATTTCATGTCTAGAAGGAAAGAAACATAAAAACTGCTTTCCCTTAGAAGATACTAAAATAATAAGCTTGACACAACTATTGGTGATAATATGAATTCCTTTTCAGGACCTGCAAAGACAAATAGCAGAAGCAGGCATATTGTACCTGGACGTCGGAGTTCATTTTGGCACGTTAACTGGCTGCTCTCGACCACCATGAATGCCAAGAGGAAAAAGCTAAGAAGGTTCATTTTTTCCTTCCTTATTATGGACATACCTGCAAAATCAAAAGATAATGATGAATCAGAAGCTCCTGAAGTGTCTGTAGATGTTCTTGTTGTTGCCTTACCCATTTCAAGTGTCCCACTGCCGTTGTCCCCCTTCTCTGCTTTCTACTGCTTCGTACAATGTATGTTGACAGTTTAGATTCTTAAATAGCTGTCACCCTTTCTTAGGATTGGACAGAAACAAGGTCAACGTAGCTTGGTATGTCCACCTTAAGTTTACCATATAACAGTTCATTCAGTACAGGGAGTTCCATGGATCATACCTTAAGGGTGAAACCCTACACAGTGAGAGTCTTTATGAGGGACAATGGCCTAGCTCTATTTCTTTAAAGTAGGCTACAGATCCCCTTAGAATGTTAAGATGAGACTTCATTAAGTAAGTGTTCAATCCCCAGGGATAATACACAATACTTTGATGCCCTTTTCAGGAAAGTGTCAATGTACTGACAATAACAGCAATATCCTTTATCATGACCCAAAGATCATCCTGTGGGATATTTCTAGGTCCCAGAGGACATTGTGGGGTACTGCACTTGGATGCTGTGTTTACAGTGATTGGATGAATCTCTATGGACATATGGACAATACCATTAGCTGTCAAGTGCGAATGACACTTAACTATTGTTAAAAAGTTTGAAGAAAGGAAGATGTGAAAAATATTCGATAGATCAGAAGGTACAGGGAAGAAAACTAGATGAACAAAAAGGCAATCCAAGGCACACCAAAAATAGCAATAAGGAAGGAATATATTAAAGAGCCTTTATTTTAAGGGTTGAATCGTTAAATAAGCCAACATGTCTCAACTGTTGTAGGTGGAGACATGTTGGCTTTTTTTTTGTAGTGCATGGAGATGAGGAGTTTGTTCATCATCATCATTCAATGAGTTGGAAGGAAAATAGTGTGCCAAAAGTATTTGGGGTTCTCTAATTAATTTAGGTTTATTAACCTTCATGAAAACTGATGTTGGAATGAAAAAAGAGTGAATGTTGCTCAATGTCACCACTGTTACAAAACTGATATGGACAGCCTTTTGTTTAGCTATATATTGAGGCCATATTTATAGTCTGGAGCTCTGTTTATGTCGCCAGGCCATTGTTTGCTTTTCCAAGCTGTCTCACTACCTTTTAACAAGGGCTCTGTTCGTAGTGGTGCAGTGCATATCAGTGGAAACAAATTAATTTAGCGTCACAGAAGCTGTTAATTCCTGCATCCTGACATGTGGCAGGAGTGTGATCAAAATGGAAAAATTCTACTCTTATAAATCAGTTCCAGTTTTGCCTTCTTTCCATGGAAAAGAAAATTTTCTTCAGTGTGGTGGTGCTTGCGCTGTCACCTTACTCAGAGAGGCTCACTGACACAAGGGTGCAAAAAGCTGGAATACCCGGCTGTCTAGGTGCTTACAAAGCTCACAAATCTGCCACTGGATTCAGTCAGCTAAGCCAGACAGGAGAGACAATCATGTTGTATTTTTGGATCTTGCAGATGCATTCATCTCTGCAATATCTGTAGCCAGAGCATCGAGAATCTTGTTAGAGCATATTTCCAAGATCAAATGTGTTTTACAATAACGGATTTTACTGCTGCCTGGCAACATCTTCAAATAGGAATTATGGCAGGATGCACACTTGTCCTCTAAGTTTTACAACGACAGTGGAGGTGTGGTGACTGCCAGTGCACCTGTGTGATAATGGGGCAAAGATGGCAGGGATTATGTTCATAATGTAATGCATGAATAATGAATAATGGTTTACTTTGTTTTTTGAGCTGTATTAAGACTCTGGATGCTTGTCTGAGATGTGTAGTCATAATTGTCAGATTCACCACAGTCATCTGCTACTGCTGCTGCTACTTTGAGTAAGTAAGAATTAGCTTTCTAGGGAATGAGAACTGAACAATATGTCAGTGTCACTGGAATTCTAGGAGTCAACTTTGATACAGTGGGTGTACACTACATGTTGCAGCTTCATGGCTTCAGGATTTAATTGACAGTGGTGGACACAATCCACACTGATAACAACAAGGGGATTACTGAAGTAATCCAAGGTTTTTCTTATCAGAAAAGCTATGGGCTGCAGAGAAACACCAAACCTGGGATGATGATTTCTGGGGACACTCATAGCAAGTGATGAGCTATAAACCATTGCATAAACGCCTTTTGCTGCTTTTCATAGCCAATCTTTGATATTTAAAATTGATATTTAAATGTTTTTATCTCATACATATTCAATTCAGTTCAATTCAATTTTATTTGTATAGCGCCGATTCATAACAGAAGTTATCTCAGGACACTTTTCAAATAGAGCAGGTCTAGACCGAACTCTTTATAACATTATTTACAGAGACCCAACAGTACCACCATGAGCAAGACCTTGGCGACGAGGGCAAGGAAAAACTGCCTGTTAAAAGGCAGAAACCTAGGACAGATCCTTCGGCTCTAGGTGGGTGGCCGTCTGTCTCGACCAGTTGGGGTGAGAAGAGAGAGAGAGAGAGAGAGAGAGAGAGAGAGAGAGAGAGAGAGACAGAGAGAGAGACAAACAGACAGACAGGTGCACAGCAACAACAGTATTGGCAATGGCAATCTAGCAGGACCATGACAGGAGGCTCCACCAGAATCGACAAGAACCTGTGAGACGAGAAAGCACAAGAACTCCGGGGAAGAAGTGAAGTTAGTAACATGCATTAATGGGACATAAATGAGTGCAGAAAGAGAGAGGAAGAGAGGAGCTCAGTGCACCATGGGAAATCCCCCGATAGTCTAGGCCTATAGCAGCATAACTAAGGGATGGTTCAGGCCTCACCTGATCCAGCCCTAACTATAAGCTTTATCAAAGAGGAACATCTTAAGCCTACTCTTAAATGTGGAGAAGGTGTCTGCCTCCCGAACCACAACTGGAAGTTGGTTCCACAGGAGAGGAGCTATTAGATTTTTATGTTTAACTCCTCTGTGTGCACATATGTCACCTATACTCAAGTATCTGGTCCAACAATGACAAAAAAGTTATTTTTAGGTAGGATTACATTACAAAAGCACAACTATATAACTTTATTCAGTGATTTTGGTGAAACTAGATCATACTTCATGGAGAAAAGATTTTCTGTTTTTCCCTCTGATGTCATCCGGCTGCACAGCTTCAACTCTCTGTGATTTACCGTTTCCTGATGGACAGACAGATTTAACTACTTGCTAAAGTGGCTATCCGCTAATGAATGGCTGCTAACTGTATCTGCCATTAGTGGGTAACAGAAGCGGGATCAGCAGCTGTACCGGGATCGAACACAGCCTCCGAGACTGCGACAGGGAATAATGTTACAGTACTGAGGTTGTGGATGGATTGCTAAATAGAGAACCGTAAGCTGCCGTTAGCTCAGTCCGCCGTGCAGTTAACCAAACTGACTTAGCCCCGGGATGCCAGGAGCCAAACCCGCCAAGAAAACCACTGATTTAGAGTTTACTAATGGAAAGGTAGCTTTAACTTCTTCCTAAACGCTAACTAACTGCTGCCAACTGTATCTGCTGTTAGGGGCGGTGTTCACTGGAAGGTAGACGCTGACGCAAGCTGCATAGCAGTGGACATGTAGACACAGTGCTATTGGTTACTGTAAATGCCAATCAGTATCCACGATAAGTCCCTCCCTAGCTGCCGTTTTTACAGGAAACACGTAAAAATGAGGAAGTAAATAACACTCTGTTTTCTGTTCCATGGGCACTTTAAAATGTGATAGGCCATATGTTGTGTCCAGGGCGGCAGTATAGGGGGAAAAGTTAGGACATTTCCAAAGGCCCATGACTGACAGGGGCCCCAAAAAATAGGTAAAAACTAATATAAAATGATTAAACCATCATCATTCAGTATATATATTTCAAATATAATAATAAAATTAATGATCTCTTTGTTTTTACTTGTTTTTGGCAGTAAAAGTTAAATATCCACATTGACCAAAAAGTAAACATCCATATTGACCGACCACCCCCCTGTATCTGCATGAAATGGTTTGGTCCTGCCTTAGCACACTTATCAGTGACGTGTTTAGTTGCAGTCAGTAGATGGCCAGAACTACAGTGATCACAATGTTAACTAGTAAATCAAAATCTGGTTTTCCAAAAAGGAAAGAGAGAAAAGAGAGAGAGGAAAGACAAAGGAAAGGATGTTAATCTGTAACCCAGTGTTTCACCAAGAAAGGTGGTACCCTATAGTCTGTGAGTGGTATTAACCTGTTGGCTTAATGTCCATAGTGAAATAAGATATCCAGCTACAGACTAGTGTTAGCCTACATTTAATCACCATTAATCAGTTCAGGGAAACGTTTAGCAACATATTCATATTAAATCATTGTCCCTGCCCCTTTTAGCAGACTTAACAACAGATGAGTCAGCAGCACCCCAGTCTCCCCATCACTGTACCCCTCCCCGTCCCAGTGAAGAAGGTGAGCAACATTGTGTTCAATGACAGGCCAGTTAGCATCATTGCAGGGAGTCTGTGGGGATTTCTCTGTCTCTCTTGCTCTTTTTACCATTACAAAAAAGAAAATGAAATATTTATTAATGACAGAAATTCAAACACATTAATAACAATTATTTTCTCACATAATGATCATTATGAAATAAAATATAAAAAAACAACAACCTACTGTCTGTACTGGATGCTGGACAATAATAATAATAATAATAATAATAATAATAATAATTAATAATACATTTCGTTAAGAGAATTTTCCATTTTGAAATTTTACAATAAAAATACAGTGAGACTGTAAAAGATGGCCTTTAGCACATTTTTTATGGTTGCTTTTAATCTTGCATCAAATAGTGAACTGCATACTGTATGCAGACTTGCATGCATGTACAAATCACCAGCAGTAAATATTGTGCTAGTACTAGTATTGAACTACAAGAAGCAAGACAGTTGCAAGCCTTTAATTAGAGTTATGTAAAGCTTTTGATGGGACAGTTAGGTCCTAGAGATGTGGTGACAACAGCTGCGCAGAGGGGGGCCCAAAATTCCTGGCGGCGCCCCTGGTTGTGTCGCCATAGGATAAAAACCAATCACAGTAAACTCCTACACTTTCCGTTATGATGGAGTATTAGGGCCAGACTAAGAAAAAAAGTATTTAATTTTTTGGGAAAATTACGAAAATAAAGTCATAAAATTACGAGAATAAAGTCATAATATTAGGTCTACAAGAATAAAGTCGTAACATTACGAGAAAAAAGTCTTAATATTACAAGAATAAAGTCATAATATTAGGTCTACAAGAATAAAGTCGTAACATTACGAGAAAAAAGTCTTAATATTACAAGAATAAAGTCATAATATTAGGTCTACAAGAATAAAGTCGTAACATTACGAGAAAAAAGTCTTAATATTACAAGAATAAAGTCATAATATTAGGTCTATGAGAATAAAGTCGTAACATTACGAGAAAAAAAGTCCTTCTATTGCGAGAATAAAGTCGTAACATTACAAGAATAAAGTCATAACATTACGAGAATAAAGTTGTAATATTGCGAGAATAAAGTAGTAATTTTGTGAGAACTTTCAGCCTGTTGGCTCAGCCAGCAAAACTGTTTAACGACGAAATGATCAATACGTTAGTTTACCTGTTGACTGTACGGTAGGACTGAGACAAACAGCGGCTGCTGGGCTCAGGCTGAGGCTGCTGATTGGTTGAGCCGGTCACGTCAGATCTTGATAACTCTATCGAAGCTTTTTTCTCATGAAAACGCCTTTTTCTCTTGTATTATTATTATTATTACATTATTCTCGTATTATTACGACTTTATTCTTGTAGACCTAATATTATGACTTTATTCTCGTAATATTATTACTTTATTCTCGTAATTTCCCAAAATGGCCCTAATACTCCGTCGTAGTCCGTCAAGTTCAAAGTGCTTGTTGCATTTTTGGTAGTTCAACTTGAACTAAGCGGTAGTGAATGATGGCTACGGCAGATAAAGATGACAATTCCTCATCAGAACACCCATGGCCGTATCTGAAGTCCAATTAAATAACTTTTTTATGGATGAGTTTCATGGATTTGCACGCCAAGTTGTCATATTGGGACCATGTCCTGTGTGGCAACAATACGTTGACATTAAAAATCCTTTTGGAGAATAAACTCAAATTTACATTCCTTTAAAAAAAAGTTGTGCTGTCATTTGCTGAGCGTGTACTTAAGTATCTGCACTATAATCACCAAAATAAATGTCAGACACATGAATGCTTTCATTTACATAAAGGAACATGTGAGAAGCGATTTCACCTTCAATTACTCTTGTTGAAGATAATGGTGGGTGTAGGTCTCTGATTGATAACTTTAACTTGGTGACCTTGCCTTTCTTTTCTTTCTGTCCTGCTCTACTGTGGACCCATAAGGAATGCTATCTCTGTACGCTGTGTCAAATATGTTATTACATGTTTTCTTCATTATGACCACTTTTAAAACTTAAATCCAAACGTAACGTCAACAAAAATCTACAAATAACGCAATACCAGTAATTATCACATTGTCCTAGTTAAATACTAGACCAGATTACTTCACTGAATAGCCAACCATTGGCTGAAGAGAATGAGCTATAGTGTAATGTTGATAGAGTTTATCTAGAGTAAACCCTACATACTCTCAACCCTCTGTAGTTACAGATCCCCACTGTAACAAGATACAAAGTAAGCTACTCTAATCTCTAACTCCTCTGGATTTGCCAAACAGCTACTTAGAAGGTAATGATCTCTCTGAGCTGAATCCCCCTGAATCCTCTAATATTTGCACTGATTGAATAAAGATTATTATAGCTATTGTGTATGATGTGGATTAGGGCATGTGAGGTGATCTAGTTGAATAAAGGAGGCGTCTAGATTCCTACAGAGATGTCAGGCTATATTGAGCAGTAACAGAGCAGTATTGTCTACTGCCTATTCTTATAAAGCACTGAGACCTACAAAGATGAGGTGTGAACAAGTGATGTACACATCTATGGTAGTCAAGTTTCTGGCCATGTTTGTAAGCGAACAGCTATATCTAGAGCCAGTGTTTGGTTTGTCCTTTCTGGGCTACTGTAGAAACATGGTGGTTCAACATGGCGGACTCCATGGAAGGCGACCTGTGGCATCTGGAAAATAGAAGGCTCATTCTAAGGTATCGAAATTATAATTCTTCAGGTAATTGCACACTAATGAAAACATACCTATGAATATTATATTACTACTAAATGTTACACATGTTGTTTAGAACCTCTGACTTATTGTCATCCCCCTGCTGAAACTCCCAAGTGGAGTTTAAGTAAATTCATACAGCATATTTAGAAATATTTAATCACAAGTCAAAGTGCAATTAGCAATATGCACAATTGTACAATATTTGCACATTTCAGATCATCAATGGCATTTTAAGAACACATTTCGGGAGAAGTTATACACAATTACATAGGGTACATGTACAAATGAAACTTAACAAACAGGTTTATTGCTGCCACATTGCATAAAAGATTTAAAGTGAGTGAGTGAACTACACATTTAGGTAGAACAGACCTATCAATTCATTAATCATTATATAAAGACTACTCCTCTAATATGTAGCAATATTAATAAATTAAACACTTATTCCAATTATTATATCAATATAATTTTAAAAGTTAGATTTTATGTCAAGTAAACTTGAAGCTTAACACCAAAGCCTGAGGCTGAGCTCATTTAATCACTTATATTTTACATAGTAGTGTTTCCTTTCTCTCAATGAAGTGTTCTTATATTTCGACCTCTTAGCAGGATTCAGGAAGTGTGAGTTTTACCAGCAGATTATGTAATACTAATATGTACTGTAAGCTTCGCAATTGATCCTATACCCTGCAAATGAAAGCTGTATAGCTGAGGTATTGAATTAAGTTGTGAGTTAAAGCTGCATGACCAATAATAACATGCAGGTTGAGACCTATAGCTTGCCAAACGGTCGAAACACAAAGTACAGAACAGCATATAAAAAGTCTACACTAATGCACATTGTACAGGCCTGTTAAAAAAATTCTAAATCAACTTTTAGCTTTTATTCTCCTGTAAAATGACTACATGCACAAACATCTTGTCACATGTGTTGTTGCCCCTCGCTTAGCATTGTCAGTCGTGGGGGAGCGTCTGCAGTGGGCTAGGTTTGGGCGTTCAGCTGAAGGCTGGGTTACGGACTCCAGACAGGGTGCTGACAGGAGTACTCTTGCCTTTGAGGAGGGTCAGGGAGAAGATGAAGAAGCAAACGCTCATGACGCCCAGGATGATCATGCCCGAGATGAGCGCGCTCGTCACCGTGTTCATCTGAAACACTGGAGCTTTCAGATGGGCTGGAGCGGCACCAACACAAAGAAACAATCAAATCTGTTCATTTTTCTACCGCCTTTTCAATACTTACTCTCAAATTAAACTTGAATGCAAAAAAAATTCCCCCTCCATACAGACATAGCTACTGGTAATGTTCTGAGCAGTTTGCTTTTCTCTTTCCTGAGAGAGATTACACAACTTTCAATGTCACGCTGACATATTCCAGCTCAGCCGCAGTGCATTAGAAAGCAGAAAATGATTCAACCATCCAAAGCAGCAGGAATCAAACTATCAACAGTCAGTTGAAATGAGAATCTATCATAACAGCAGAGATACCAATTCTTCACTGACATTAGAGTCAAATTGACATGCTGCATTAGGAGCATAGGAACAATTTCTGTTCTTTTTCTGAAAAAAAAAGAACAGCTCTCTTTCCACTAGGGCTGCAACTACTGATTATTTCCATCTACAATTAATCTGTTGATCATTTTCCTGATGAATCGATTAGTTGTTTGGTCCATGAAATAGAGAAAAATGTTGATCACTGTTTTCCCAAGCCCAAGGTTTTGTCCACAGCCCAAAAATATTCAGGTTACTGTCCTAGAGGACTCAAGAAAGCCCTACTATTTCATGTCAAAATGGCTGCTGTGAAAAATGTCTGTTGCTTTTGCTCTCTCCACCTGTGTGAATGCATTAGTTTCTGTGAGAGTTTTCAATAGTCATTCTATGTTATGTAGCAAAATAACTAATTGAAGTGCAAATAAACAATTTCATCACAGGATAATAGGACATAAGACTGTAGGAGAGGATAAGATACATTTGATTACAGTTTCTAGGCTTTTACTCTCACACAAAACTACAAGGAGTTCTATCAAATGACTGGGACGAGTGGATTCAGAACATCTTCAATTTCAATAATATTATCCAATGTACATCTGATATTTAACATACCAAATGTCATGCAGATTTTCTGTATTTTTTTCTGCATTTTTAAAAGAAAATCTGCTTTGTCTACCAATTAAGGCATGATAAATATGTGTAATAAAAATTCTTGAGTAACGCTTTATTGTACAGTCTGCAAATTACCTGGTGTTTACTAGGAAACTAGACAGTATCTATGTATTAGTATAGTTCCCATATGGAAAGGATGGTAAGTTTGAAGTTATTATCAAGTAAGCACATAAAAACATACGTGGAAACTAGATGGTAAAAATATCCTTAATGATAAAGTACCCAAATTCATGTACCCAGTAGGTAAATACAACTTACTAGGAAATACCATAAGTTGTAATTTTAATACATTGATTACAGTTACTTTTCCTTACCCTATACTGCCAAATACTAGTATACAGAAATCCATTTTCATCACAATCAGAATCAACAGTCAACTATCTTTCGCGGTCTGATTGGTTGTTTTTGTCTGGGCCTCGTGAATTCTTGCAGATGCCATTAGGAGCACTAGAATGAGCCAGAGGAACCAGATTTTTTCACAGATTATCTGTCTCATGTATTATTGTCAGTATAAACTGGAGGTTTCACCAAATATGACGAAAAAATATATACCAGTATAAAATAGCAGTTAATTAGCAGACTGTAAAATATTTTGTCATGTGTAGCCACATGTCTCAACAGTTTCCACAGCCGATTTTGTGTTTTTATGTCCACAGGGAATTCCATATCATTGAAAAGCAAAACCACATTTAAAAGCGCCTGTCCACACTATGGAAAGAATGTGAAGCCTTACCCAGCTGAGAGTTGTTGGTTGGTGTTTCATCTGTGGAAAAAAGGCAGAGGGCATTTAAGGGTAACAGCAATGCATTGTATTCATTACAGTATACTTTACATGTGTATTCTTCATTTCTTGTACAGTAAATGAGTCAACAGGATGCCTTCAGGCTCTCTGGCAATCTAGGTCGCCCAGATAAGTTCTCACCATCAGTCAACATCCCAAACCTCAAGTTTGACACACTCAGGTACCTTATAATAATTATATCCATTCTGGAAATCAGTGTAGACTTACACAGCTTGTAGGACTTTTATGAATCACAGCAAAAAAAATTACAATTTGAAAGAATTAAAAGAGCTTATGGAGCATAATTATGGAGTATAATGTTTCAGGTGGGAAGAAAAGGCTGCTCATGCAGTAACAGTGCTGTTTGGATAATGGTTGACTGGTTGGTGGGAAACTGAGGAGGAGAAGTGCTATCAAACTGTACCACTCCGAGTGATGATAGGCCCGGCAGTCAGGACAGCATTCCCAGATGCGCTGTTTGATTCTTTCCCCTCTGAGACGTCTCTCTTTCTCCTGCTGCCACAGATCTATGAAAAAAAACACATGGACTTATGGTGGCAGCATGGAACACCCCTGATGTGTTCCACTTTCTTGTGATATCACAGTAGGCACATATATACTTGGTTTCTCAGAGACAAATGTGTTGTCATAAGGAGGCACACGTTGCATGGTTAATATTAATGTTGCCTATTTTACATTTTATAAACTGTGTTTTGTGCTTTTCTGGGTTATGTTGTTATATGAAATGGGATATATGAATGGTTGGAGATTTGGGATTTGAATTATTATTCCACAATATGATACTAGAAAGATGTTTTATTCTCCATTTACTCTACTATGAGTCATTTATAATTGAAAATGAAAGCGGGAGGAGGGAACAGTGTATTGAGTGAAGGAAGGATTATATCATGCAGCTGCTCTGCCCTGAACACTTAAATGGATTACAGGCAGTCCTCAGCTGCTGTCAATTAGGCACCAATAAAGCAGTGTTTGGAAACGTGAGCAGGCAATCACACAGTCACTTCAGTCGAAGGCCCTGTAATAACATCAGACATCCAATATATCTGACATTCTCCTGAACTTTTGAGTTTTACTTTGAAGAGATACATGCCATGAGAAACATGTGGTTAAGTTTTAGTTTTGTACAATGATTCATTCAGTAATGCTGTGAAGAATTAGGATAAAATTCACACAATAGGTTTATAACAAAACAAATATTACCATAAAGGACAGCTAGTTTTGATATTAACTGTTTTTTCTTAGATATTTTTTGGGTGTTAGCTAGCAAAGAATCACAGTTGGGGATGGCGGTCACATTCATTCCATCTTGCTCCCTAGATTTTGCTTTAAAAAAATGTATGTCTTTCTTGTCAAAGTGTAAATATCCTGCTTTTCTGTCTGTGTCTTCTAAGCTTTTACACAATGGGTTTATAAAATTCCCAATAAAGGGAGAGCTAGTTTGGATTAGTTTTTTTAGCTTGGTTTTTCTTTCCTAGGCATGTGGTTATTAGCTCAGCTAGCAAAAAATCCCAGTTGGGTATGCTTGTCACATTGTCTTTATTTTCTTATCTCATTTCAATTAAAGTGAGGAACTTTAATGGAGATTTAATGAGTTGAGTATTATTGTTCTTTGTATAGTTCTTGCTATTGTTACATGAGGATAACAAATGGAATGATATTCCTGTTTATTTTCTTTCGATGCAGCTGATGTGTTAGGTTGGTCATTATTCCCCATTAAAGTCCCATTATACATTGAAAGGGAATCTATTAAGTAAATAGTGTGACAACCAACCCCGTTCTCCCTCACTTGCCCTACTCATGCAGAACAGTGTTATATTGTTATAATATTTGATCATTATTATTGATGTAAGAAGAATTTGAAAAATATAAATCATATTTAATAAGGTGATAATGTGTTTTTTGGATATAAAAAGTTGCAATGTAACTAGTAATCATAATTGTTGAGTGTAGAAGTGTGAGTGAGTGTAAAAGTACCATGTTTCCCTCCGATACATAGTGTAGTATAAAGTAAAACAAAATGGGAATACAGTATTATAAAATAAATAATAAAACAGTATTTGATCCTGACAGTTTGTCATGTTACGTTTGAAGGTGTGCTTTATGAGACTCACTGGCATGAGCATGGGACAGTCGTCTGCCCGACACAGCTTGGTGACACAGTGCAGGAAGACGGTGGACATCTTCTGGTTCTTATGCTTCACGAAGCGGAACACTTCAAAGGCAAAGCGGCCCATTTGGCTTTTCCCGTTTTCAAAGACAGTGGTCTGGGGGTCTTTTTCACAGCTGGCTCAGAGAGGGAAAATCAGAAAGTGTTGTAGGGATTAGAGTGAGAGAAATGTCAGAACTGAACAGAAATGTAGATCCGTTTTCAAATTTGAGTTACCTAAAGAAAAGATCATAGCGGAGGTCATCGTTAGGGTTTCCAGAGGGCGTGGTGTAACAGTAGTCCATTAGAATATTCCATCTATTTAACATGAAAGATGAGGTGAGTTCAGAGCTCAGACATTTCAATGCAAATGGGTTCATGTAGATGTAAAGAGCTACTCTGACACTTTGTGGCACCTTTCTTGGTAGCTGAAGAGAAGATTGCCACCAAAATGATTGTACCATCATGAGACATTACTTCTTTGACTCCTAGAAATTACATTTATATACTGCTAATTTGTTTTCCCAATTATGTTTTGTAGGAAAAAGTCATTACTTCTTAGATTATGTTCTTTGGCAAAGTTGTTTCTAGTGTATAAAGCCTTACATTTATGTATGAGTCATAGGCAGATGGTCAGAGTGGATGGTGGTTGCACAAAATGCAGAAAGCCAGTCCCACTTGTAACTAGTTTTAGGCAACAAAAGCCCTGTGGTTTAAGGGACAGTTCACCCCAAAACAATATTTTTCCTGTTACCTTTAGTGCTTTTTATCCATTTAGATTTGATTTTTTCTCAGCAACTCACAGTTTTCGCTTGTTGTGCTCAAAGCGCCTCAGCTCCTCCTAGTGCTCCTAATGGCATTTGCATGAATGGGCTTGAACAAAAACTTTTTAAAAAGTTACCTCCTGCAGCTTTAAGTTCAATTAAAAAAGACATTAATTTGTAAAAATGTCTGAAGATTTGTAAATAAAACTGTGTACTGATTTGGCTCTTCCAAGCAAATATTGATATATGTGATTGTTTGTGATTAAATCAGCAGATTTCTGCCACCCCTTAAAGTGTTCTTGCCACCCTCTGGCCGTGAATATTTAATATGATCTGCCACTGAGACCACCATCTTTCTCTGACCTTAACAAAGTTGAAGTATTGGTTGCTATGGGTAATATCGAATGATCATAAGACAAAGACTTCACATCATTAATTCTGAGTCAAAACCAAAGGGGAGATACGTCTGTCCGACAAACAAAATGCCAGAAGTATGAAAAATGTTGCTGCTGACCATGGAAACCCTTAAGAATTTGTTCACCAGGGAATCGTCACTCATTAATTACATTAGATTGTGATTTAAGCCCAAATGGGGAGGAAAGCAGTCCAGAATTACATGTTTAGGTCATGAAAGCCCACAGATGGGAAGTCCTGGTTTTACATCCCCTTTCATGACCTAAATGTTGTTGTTTTTATATCAGAAAATGCTAGGACCAACAGTGTTTGTACCATGTGATTTTCATGCATTTTCACTATTTGCAAGTATTAAAAAGACTTTGATTTAGATCAATGAAGAGGTTCAAATCAGACTCAAGACCAGGTTTTCACACAGTGCAGCCCTGCCCTCTATGTATCATCAACGGGAGCAGCTGGTCCTAAAACTGCTTCTCAGGTGAACAAGGTGACACAGTTAACGGCTTAACCCTGCCTTAGCGAGTATATATAGCTTATTTTAATGTTCATACTCTTTTGTAGATGTTTTTTATTTTTGTTTTTCAAGTCTTATTTAGAAATTAAGTATTAAGAGATTTTAAAGAATATATAAATATAGAAGCAGTCAAAACTCAGCAACACTTGAAGAACAGCTTTCTTGTCAGACCAATGTGTTTCAGCTTGTGGGCCATCAGGGATAATACAGTTGTCCTTTATACTACATTGCTAGAGGTTTTTTTAAGATTATATTTTGCCTTTATTGGGTATGGACAGTGAAGAGGCAGACAGGATACGGGAGAGAGAGAGAGAGAGAGAGAGAGAGAGAGAGAGAGAGAGGATGACATGCAACAAAAGTTGCTGGACTCAAACCTGCGACAGTTGCAACCGTGCTGCCACTTCTTTTTAAACCACACCACACAAGAATGGCTTCTTCCCATCTGCTGCTGGCCTGGTCAACAAGTTCTGGGACCCCCTCTGACCCTCACTCCCACCCCATCCTGTACACATTACATCTAAAGTAACGGTCATATTGTACATATTGTCTACTATATATAATATACTATATTATTGTCTTTATCACACTTTTTCATGGGGCGCCAGTTCTGCTAGGTGAGTCCTTGCTGCAGCGGTCATGGGTTTGACTCATTGACAGTATATACATACATATATACATGTGTATATATACATATATATGGTTTCGACTCCAACTAGTGGCCCTTTGCTGCATGTCATCCCCTCTCTATCTCTCCTCCCTTACTATCCAGTAAATGATATATAACATAATAATACGTTTTTTCTCACAGAGAAATTGTCATTGTTGATTTTCAATTTCTCTATGTATGCTTGTAACCATCTTTCCCCTTCTCTGTGCACCTTGTAGCTTAAGTTGTGTCAGAAGTCCCTTCTCTGCTTCTACATAACCTCAATATCATGACATTTTACAGCCACAGTCAGTATTGTGTGGGTTTTTCACTAATTGCATTATTTCCATTATAATAATCCAACAATTTAGCAGAAGACACATGATAGTGGATGACAAAGTGAACTGCCTCTGTTGAGGGCTTCAAATTAAAGCTGTAGTTTAGTATGAAATTTATTTTCTCAGACTAGAGAGTGTATAGATGTTGAGTGAATACCTCCTATCCAGGTTAGAAGCTTTTACAGCTGCAAACACACGCGTCTTCAGGGTCAGTCCTGCCATGGGGATGGACAGCTGCTGAATGTATGATGAGTCCTGTAAATGAATCACAACAGTATTTCAGCACATTTCCTGACATCCTGTTGAGAGTGATTTGTTCAGTTTCACTACAGTTCATGAATATCCAACATCTTTTTTCTGTAGAATCCCGTGGCTTAGGAGAGTGGTTCCAAACCTGGGGATCAGGACCCCCACAAGGGATTGCCAAAACTTCTTGGGGGGGCTCACAAGGCCTTCTTGATGTGTGTAACAAAACTAAATGAAAATATACACAGTAGGCCTATATCTCTGAAGAGAAAGAAAATGAAATAATCTGCTCAAAATTCATAAAAAAATTTCGTTTTACACATTCCACTGTTTCCGTTCACTGTTTGGTTTTATTGTGCAGATGTCAAAATAATATTAAATATCTATAAAATATGTCACTTAGTCAGGGGTCGTCAGTTTACTTTTATAGAAAAGGGCTCTGGCTGTTGGCAGTTCAATGTCGAAACATCCTTGAGCAAGATACTGAACTCAAATTTGCTGACGAAATGAGTGTGTGCAAATGGGATTAGTTAGTTTCCCATGAGTAGCTGGCACCTTGCATGTTAGCCTCTGCCATCAGTGTATGAATGTGTGTGAATGTCACCTGTAGTGTAAAGAGCTTTGAGTGGTCAGAAGACTAAAGGTGCTACATAAGTGCAGTCCATTTACTGGTTTGACTTCAGTGAATTTAGCACAAGGTTGAAATAAATTGTGGATAATTGAGTATAATCACCTCCAATTACTCCAATTATTAAAGGTAATTTTGCTTGAGGTGCATTAAAGGCTTTCTCAGTTATTGGTGTCTTTTCCTGTCTCAAACGTGTATCCTCATTCTCAGAAATGACTAGAGTTGCAGATGTAAAAGGTGCAGATCAACCCCACACATTTTGGCGTGTAGCTTTGTCTCCAGTGCAGCAGCCTCAGCTCAGAGTGCAGCAAAATAACAGATTTTGAATGTGATGTGAACTTACATTGTAAAGCAGCAGATTCAACGTGCTGACGAAGGTACCGTTGCTGTCCTTCACTGATATCGCAGCTGCTGACCTTCAATGAAGATCAAAGCAAAGCAAACAGATGTGGATTTACTAATATGCACAATATTGATGAAGAAGAACACACTTGCTGCACCTTAAAAGGAGTACTCTTTCGCCACTGTATGTGGTTTACACACAATGTCTTTACACCATATATAAATCATACAGTGTCTAGACAAGCTTTTATAGTCTTTAACTTTGACTTCTAATCAGTAACTTGAATTTAGCCTTCCTATATACATCTGTTCTGAAAAAGTACTTGTTTTCTTCCATCAGATCCATTGACTGGTTGGATGGACACAATAACTGGATGATAATAATATAAAAAAGCCCTGAAACCTTTCTGAAGTTGAGAAAATTACAATTTAGTGACCCTGCGTCATGTTGAGTAATTGTAATTGTCATAATTTTTATCCTGCTTCTTGTGGTGTCTCAGAATACATTACCCTTTGTTGGAAATTCTTTATTAGGAATAACCCCTTGAGATGTACCATCTCGTTTCCAAGGGGGTACTCAACAAAAGAAAGTACACAACTAAACAAGAAAACATTTTGACATAGATAACAGCATACAATTAAACCAAATATAACAAAAACAAACTAAACATACCGAGTCAAAACAAAAAAACTAAACAAAAAAGAAAAACAACAACAGCAACAACAAAAAATCCCTGGTAAAGATCAAGGCAAGATCAGATCATACTCCAAGCAGAGCGTGAAAATGGATTATTCATTCACAGCCTAGAGTGGCAGTATTAATCAGCTTTCTAAATCCCCTCTGATGCACATCATTCAGTAGTGTTCTGTAAGCGAAATCTTTTTTTCTAGGATAGCGAAGACATGACATAGTCCAATTTAGAGTGAATGGAATAAGGAATACTTCAATCAAAATGCATTATTATGTAGCGTAGTTGTCTTGCCTGTCTGTAGGCCAGTACTGATTGCAAAATCTGCACCTCTTCTGCTGGCAGTAATTTCATAATGATCCTTACTTCAGAACTTAAAGCTGCAGTAGGTAATTTAAAAAATAACAACCAATCAGAGCCAAGAAAGATATAAAGACGCTTTGGGTTGGAGGCTGGAAGAAAAGTTTCCCAGGGTCCCGAAGCATCTGTTAAAAATGAGACTCAACAATCAACTATCTTTCTTGGCTCTGATTGGTCATTTTCGTTCAGGACCGGTGGATTCTTGCAAATACCATTAGGGGCACTAGAATTGATTTTTTTCACAGATTATCTGTCTCGTGTACTATTGTCAGGATATAGTGAGTTTAGTTTCAGTAAATATGACCAAAAATTATTTTATAAAAATTACTTACTGCAGCTTTAAGTCACAATGTTTCTTAATTATGCAAGATTAGTTTTACATGTCACTGTTTCTAACGCAGGTTGTTTATCCTTTGTCTAAAAGTGGAAGTGATAATGTGAGTGAGACTTACGAGGCCAGTTGTGTGTTGTTGACCAGGTATTCCAGTGGGTAGCTGCAGCTGAACTTGTACAGTAGACCTGGCAGGTAGCTGATGATGGTGGGGGGATCCGGTGTGTCGATGTACCCTGATATGTTTCCAATCTGCACCAGTGACAGGTTCCCATAAGCGTTTGGTCCCTGAGCCGTGGAGACCTGCAGCAAACAACATGAGCGTGGGTAATACACTCCTCCTGGCTCGCTAACCGAACACCATTATCTCACTGTGGGCAAGCTGGACAGGGGTTGATACCATCAGCCATGCCACTGAGCATACTAATGCACCTCACTAATCCCCAACTCAGTCTCTCCCTATCTGAGAACGGACCCGTCAAAAACTGTCCCGTTGCATCAGGCTCTACACTCAGCAAAAACATGGGGAGACAGCTCGCTCAGCACAGATTTGCTTTAAACTCCAGTTAAACTGTTTTAAGGATTGTTTTTTGCTCATCATCCTGACAGGGCCTCCAGGATCCCACAGGAGCCCCTTCACTGAAATAACGAGTGCTGGACTTCATTCCCATGCAACATAAACACAGCTTGTCAACATCAAAAACATGGATGCTGTCAACGAGACAGCCAGCTGAAATAAAAGACATATCAGATCTTTCTTTCAGCAAACTGCTGCAAGGCTTTTCTGCTGTTTTTCAAGTTTTCAGCTTCAGTTTGTATGTATATGTTCAGTTGGTATTAGTTAGCATACAAAATGTTGTAAAGATAATTGTAGAGTCATCTAAGACTGTGAGTCATTTGATGACACAGCTGTGAGGCATGCCTTATTTAACCTTACCCACTCTCCACAGTAAACTACATTATATCAGCTTTAATGATGGAGATGGTTAGAGCCAGACCCCAAACAGCTGATTAAACACTGTTTAAATGGTAAATGGACCTGTACTTGTATAGCGCCTTTCTAGTCTTCCGACCACACAAAGCGCTTTTTACACTACGTGCCACATTCACCCTTTCACACACATTCACTCAGTGATGGCAAAGTCCATCGAACAGAAACTAACTCATTCATACACATTCACACACTTTTTTGGGGTTCAGTATCTTGCTCAAGGATACTTCAACATGTGGCACCAGGAGCCGGGGATCAAACCCACAACCTTCCGATTAAGGAACGACCCGCTCTGCCTCTGAGCCACAGCCGCCCGTAAAGTGTTGTACATTGACTGTTGCCAGGGCAACCAGGCAGCTCACAGATTGTAATGCATCACCTGTACCAATGAATTTTGAGCACATTATTTCCTGTGAATATTGATCAGAGATGAGTTTTACTGACATTTTTGGGGACTTTTTATAAAATTCTCTGTCTGTATTATGTATTTTCTATATTTTAACAATACTTCTACTTAATGCTTGGCCATTGTTTTTTCAGCTCAATGGTTGTTTTAACTGTGTACTTTTCTAATGCAGGATAAGGCTGTTTATTATATATATATATATATATATATATATATATATATTTATTTAGTGAAGGCTCTGTGAAGGTCTTAAATGATAATCTAAACTTTAAAAATAAGTTCATTACATTTTCTTCACAGAAATGAATGTAATGCTGATATATAGGCCTACTGTGTTTATAAATATATATATTTTACACCCCTTAAAATCAAGAAGGTCTTGCAACACCCCGTCAAGCCTTGGCAACCCCCAGGTTGGGAACCACTGAAATAAGGTATGAGGGAATAAGAATGATCTAGATAGAGATACAGATACAGATATAATTTATCATTTTAATGGCCTATTTTATAATAGAATATTTTATGTTTATTGTGATTCTATTAGTCTTTTGATTCTGAATTGAATATATCTGGTAAATACATGGTTAGTACTGTTGAGGTTAATGTTGAGATTTTGGTATAATATTGTGATATTTTCTATTATTATTTTTGATGTATTTATTTTTGAATATTGTTAGTGTTTTACATTTGTATTGTTAGAACTAATTTGAATTGGCAGTTAACGTGTGATTGAGTAAATCCATTCTGTTTAATTTGTCCATTCAGAATAAATTAATTCCAGCTGGATTATTTCTAAATTACTGCACAAACTTTACATGATCCACTCCTTTAATTGTATTTTCCAAACACTATTGATTGATTAATGATATTTCTGATAATAATTAACAACTCCATCATCAGCAGTGTGATGCTAACAGTAACACTGTAAAATCCTTTTCCTCTTACCACCAGGGAATTGCCACAGGACTCCAGCGTGGCCAGGCTGATACTAAAGATCACAACAGTGGGAAAGGTGTTGTTGTTGATGAATCCACGGCAGTGTGCATCTCCATGGCGACCATTGAGGGCCAGGTCGGTGTCAGTGTACCCGGAAAAGAGGACGGGGCAGAAGTTGATCTTGAGGGTGATGGTCTGCACCCCACAGTACACACTGATGTCCCTCTCCGCTGTGAGACAGACAGACACAGACACACAGACACACACACACACACACACACACACACACACACACACACACACACACACACAACATTTTGTTAGATTACAGTCTAAACCATGATGTAAAATTTTGTTAAAATCACAAAAATGAATTATCTTTTCTTTGGAATATGGACGTAGTTAGATAATCATATGTAAATTCCATCCAGTAATTCTGAAACAAAAAGTATGAATCTGTGTCAGGTCCTCACCGGGGAATCGGCTATGAAAATTGGCGTCACAGTTGTATCCATTGAATTGAGCTCCAACTGATAAAGCCTTAGTAAAGAGTAAAAGAATCAAAAGTATATGTTCCATTTCAGCACCTGAAACAGAGCAAGAATTTACACTTAATGCTAGAAATCGAGTGTAGGTGCTTCATCTGTCACTTCATAAAAACATAACCTTTAAAGCTTGGGAGAACAGAAAGTGAATTCCAACATAAATGTAATTAATTTTGCTGAGAAAAGCCGTGTGCTAATGTCAGATGGGAAGATTTTCCCAAAAGATTTCAGTTATCTGGTAACAGTTTTGACTTCAGAGGAACATCTTTCACATGGCCGCCAAACAGAATCAAAGCAGACAAATGTCACATTAAATTATCTTTGAGTACCTGCATTTGACATCAAAGTTGTAAGAAATTATACTGGATAATGTGCTGATAAGTGCAGTCATTTCATAAAAGTATAATGGCTTATCTCTGTGTGCACATCTCATTGTACTGTGAAAACCTCTTATCACATAATCGTTGTCAGTCACAGATACAGAGTCTCAGTCCTGGAGAAACAGCTAAATTAACGTAGTAATTGCACCAAGTTTACAGTTAGCGTCTCTAGCTACGACAGTTGTTATGAGGTAAAACGCAGACCTACGAGAAGTAGAAGCACTCACCCTGGTTCCTGGAAGCCAGCGAGTCAGCGGTTCTCCATAAGCTTGGGACAGACGATGGAATGGTCCGCACAGCATCCCTACCCGACAACTAGAAACAGGACTCAGGAGCAGGGGGGGAAAAAGGGATCCTACACATAAGAGATTCATTATTTGAACATGTCAACAAAAAAGGGCTGTCCGGAGTGAACATGGGAAAGTCCATCAAATCTGAATGTGTTATACAAATCCTTTCACGATCGCAGAAACATGAGCAGGTTTTGAAGTTTCCCACTCATATCCTTTCGGCCCAATCTGGCTGTGTCACTGCTCACAAATGGTTTGACGCCGCATGAGGTCCAGCGGCGGTGGGGGGGTAGAATTATCTTTTCATCGCTCCAGTGGCCCCGGCCTGCTGACTGAGCCGTTCCTTTCTCCCCGGGCCTGCTCGGGGAGTGCAGAGCCCACCGCGCAGGCCCTTGGCCCCGGGAATCCACACTTTTCATTGTTTTGTGTGCAGCAGTCCTCAGTCAGCACAGCAGCAGGCAATCTGCTTGGTGGGGCTGCAGGCCTCTACTCCCGGCCTCCTACCTGACCCCCAAACTTTGATTTCTGCTCACATAAAGAGAGCAAAGAAAAAGAAAGCAAAGTTCATGAAGTTTCAGGGGATTAGCCGGCCCTCACTGTCCCATCTTCTATATGGATGGCAGTATATCTGCCGCAGTGTGAACCAGACAGAGTACACACAGGGATCCTGTGAATATGGAATATGAGATGAAAAGGACACTGGAAGCTCCGAGCAAACTTCTCACTTTAGGTCAAATGGAAAACAAAAGATTCTCTCTTCTGACTGTTTGAAAATCCACCCACATGTATTTTTCCTCTCCGCAGAGGACTGTTATCACCAAGATAATTTCACCAAGCAAAGGTTCGCCTCTGTGGAAGCTTCCCAACAATCTGTCCTGTATCAGCTTTCAGAACAGGTGATGAAAACAACTCGCAGTATTTTACATTTTTAATGAGTTAAAGAGGTCCCTTACCTTGTTTCACCTGATTAAGAGTATCTTTGGTGTTCAGTTCTTCAATGCTTCAGCAATCACTACGATTTGTCTGTCCACCAGGGTGTTCCCGTACAAAACATGTTGAAGCTGCCCATGCAAACTGCTGCACAGTCGTGATCATCCGCAACTCAAGATATTCAGTCGTGTTCTTTCGCTGCTCCGATATTCTCTCGTGGAGCTGTGGGGAAATTGAGCACTGAGAGCCGGGAAACGGCGACTTCTTATTTCTGAGGTTTTTGCTAATCCAGATAAATTGTAATTACCAGAATCTTGGCCAAAAAACTGCTTCACCGCAGACTGATAGCCATCTAGAGTGTCCCAACACTAGGTAGATTCAGTTTGGCTTATCAGTGGGAGAACATCTTAATCCATAGAACATGACAACCATGGAAGCTAAAGACACCATTTTGGATCTTTTCATCACCTTGCACAAACAGACAGACTTACATTGTCGAACTGCATCACTCAGTATTTATAGCTGAATCCTGAGTGCTCTTTGAAGAGTATGTGAATACATAGATTCCCATTGTGGTGTTATAATGGCTGCTGATGTTATAAGACCTCTATGGATTCATGCAAACTATACATTCAAGAACAAAAGAATGTATGGAGGTTGCAACATGTTGACAACTTGAGCTAGCTAACATCTAGTTTGATCAGTGCTAAGGTTTTACCCTAGTCTTAACAAAGCAACTGGAAGCTATCATTATTTTCCAGACACCAACAGGCAGAAGCTTTACCTGAGAACAACACAGCCACCTGTAATCTCTAACTCTGAAACACAGAAAACATATTCACTCTCCTCAGGAACATCATTTATAGTCTGTGTACGTATGCCAGTAGTCCTTTCTTCACTCTTCACACCAATTCATCTCCAACACTGACAGGCAACTATTGTTGTCTTTCAAACACAGACATACCTTGCTAGTCACAGCAGAGGCAGGATCTAAGATATAGGAATGTGACATTATAGTTTCCCTTTTCTCTAGTCTGTGACTTGTTTACTTCTCATGAACTAAGAGCTGATGCCCTACTGATCCCCCTCCAGTCAGAAATCAGTGTTTCTTCCTGTTCCTACAGTGTTCTGTTTGAATGGTGTCTGTGCAGAGTTTGACACTAGAAGGATGTTTTCACATTCATCTGCTGAAAGTGGAAAGTTTCTCTGTGCTTACTGAAAATTAGATTTTTAGTAATTTAAAAATAGTTTGGAAGTCCATGCTGGTCCAGTATCAACTTGTACAGTGTGATGTAGAAACTTGAAGCCACCAGTGCACATCCACTGAGAATGGACTTTACAGTGAAGTAGGAGACATCTTGTGTCCAGCAGGAACACTGGCTTTTTTAAACTGTATTTTAAAACAGTACGTAAATGACAATATGTAAAAACACTACTGTAATCATTTCTTCAGTCCATTAAAAGATCCTTTACAATCTAAGAGATGGGGAAAAATTCATAATCCTCATTCTGTGTAAAATGAATCCTTAAACCTACAACAGGGAGTTTTTAACTGGTTATGTCATTTTTGGGGCAAGGGCAATTTCTTAGCGTTACCTTTTCACAGTCTGCTGTGAAGTGTACAAAGACGTTGCATAAACAGAGACCTTTTATTAGAGCTTAGATCTACACACTCACTCTCACTAAAGAAACAAAACTATTCTTCTGTAAAACAATATATAAAAGATGCTAACAACGTTACACTGTAAAAAAGAAAAAAAGAAGAGAAAAAAGTAAGACGAGTAAAGAGTAAAATGAGTTAAATTTACAGAAGAGGGCTGTTAGTATTTGATTTTTCTTAGTTCATTCTGAATCCTTAAAGTTATAGGACTGTAATAAATCACACCATCTGTGAAATTACAATAATTATTGCTGTTTTTAGTGATAAAAACAGATTTTTGACAGTACCAAGGCTTATACACTGATAAAAAACATTTATTCAACGTTTTTGTTGTTAAAATTTCCATAATACAAGATATCTGTCAATCAACAAACAAATCCATGTAAAATTACAGAATAAATACTTTTTTCGTTTCACATAATTTTAGAAATGTATTAACAGTTTTAAACTTAAATGTATCAGTTTAATCTATTAAACAGTAAATATTATGAAATATGTATAGATATGCAAATTTATTTTTATATGAAAAAAGGTAAATAAGGTAAATAAGCAGTAATCTTATAACATCACAGTTATAGATTTTTCACGTTATTTTACATTAGACATTTTTTTATTTTATTAATATTTCCATGTATTTAAAAAATCTATTAAAAAAATGGCAAAATAAATGGGAAAAACTCATAAGTTTACAGTTTTTGTTACAGTGTAATTTTCTTAATGTCTCTGGTTACAAATATATTTGTGGGAGAAATCTCGGACTACTGTTGATGTCTAGCGTGATGACAGACTTTGGGAAATGTGACATTGTTTATTTGCTGCATCGCACGTAGTTTAATGAGGAAATCCAAAATGTACTTTATTTTTAAGGGCACAACGGCGAGTTCAAAACAGGGCAATGCCAAACTGGCCATGTGGGTAGTTTTTTCTGGGAAGGGGCATTATGGCCACACAGAGGACATCCACAGCACTGGCTGTGGTATAATTCCTGCCCTGATACTGATGCCGATATATGACCTACATAAACAAACTAGACCACTACTGAAGATACATAGTTATAGTTAGAGAGATGTAGAGTTAGTCAAACCAGTTCCTTATAGGGGCTTCAAATTCAGCTGAAGTTAAAATGAGGCTCATAAGTCAGACCAAGAGGGGATCTTCCATGGTTACTGTCTTTTTAGTAGAACATTCCTAAATTCCTATGCCCCTCTCCCCATTTCTGCACTATTGTATCTATGTCTCTCAGGATTGTTGCAAATCAAAAGTTTGACTCACCCAATTTTTAAATCAAATTCAAGTAATTTCTGATATGGTCTTGCCACAAAGACCTACTATAAAAGCTAGTGTGCTCATGACTAGAGCTACAAGTTACGAAATGTAATATTCTGAAAAGAGTTGTATCTTGGACTGAATATTGACTGGGACACATTTCCAATTCATAGAAAAAGTTTCAGTAATCTTGAATGTTTTCAATTCTGTGGGATTCTCTAGGACAACATATCAATTGTGACAAACACAGACATCAATTATACTGCCTCCTCTGGTAGAAAACACAATGATATAAATCTGTTTTGATTCCACCGGTCTGCCATGGCAGCAGGGATACTTGCTTCTAGCAATGTATTGAGAATCATAAGTTTACTGTGAGAAGGCCTGCTGTTTCACAAGAAGGACTTGTTACTCAGACCTGAGGGGGACTCACTATACAAATGTCATCAATATTCATCAGGGTGCTCATCTGGTCCTGGTAAGGACTTGTGCAAATTGTGTGCTTTTGATCAGCCCTGATATCTGTAAGCACACAGAATAGAAATGCTTTACTTCATTACAGAGGTGTTTTTATATCTCTAGCCTATATTTAATGTACTCACTGTGTTTGAATGTGTTGTCCTGTCCTGTCCTTAAAGGGTATTCACTTGATATAATGATTTTATTATTTGCATTTCACAAGAGAACAAGGTTTTGATGTTCCTACTCTGTACTTTTGTTAAAAAAAGATACAGTAATAGATACAGTACAGCATTATAAGTACTTGGGAATTTTGTAAGATTAATTTAAATGAAGAACATGAGTTCTGTAGAATAATCTGATTCTTACACTTGTAAACACTTGTTTCACCTTTAATAACATAGAAAACATAGTAATATCCACTATATCTCCACTGAATTATTGAGATATCCTGTATGCCTTTGCTGCTGCCACCATTAAACCACTGGGTGCCATTTGCCACAGTGCAGTTCCATTCATTACTGCAGACAGCAGTATGTTGTTATTCTATGCATTTCACAAGAGCACAAACAAATTCTTAGGGAGAATACTGGTAAACTTTCTGATAATTTACTTCAGGCGTCACACTGGATGGATGACAATTCCTCAAACACCAAAAACCCCATTTCCTTGATGCTACTGTCAAACTGGGACACAAACTGTTATTCAAGTTTAGGCCTAATGGTTTAAAAAAACTCAATAATAATATAAACAACAACATGATTGGTGAATATTCTGTGCCACGCTCCTAAAAGAACCTATTTTTTTTATTATGTAC